ATGGACTGCTCCTCTATTAGTGAGATCAATTTGATGGATTTACTTAGATCTGTTGTGTGCCATCACAAAGATTCTAATTTTCTTTGTTTGATGGTTTGTATATAGGAGATGTTTACAATATAAGATTACGACTACATGCAACCTTCGGATTGATCTAAGAGATAAGAATGTCTCTATTTTTTTTTTAACTCGCTATCGGAGTAACCTGTTGAACTCAAAATCCCAAAGATAATTGGTTGGTGCTGAAATCCTTTCCGTTCGGCATATTTGCAGCAGTTGTCCAGGTTTGACTGTAAAGGCTTCAAGAGAGTCCTTAGGGATCACTGAACAACATAAAAACAACAAACTGGAGAGAGTAGCTGAAACTGATGATCGGAGCGAATTGTTTGAGGATATGAAACAACGGTTTCTTGACTTCAAAAAACATAAATACATGTAAGCGGCCAAGGACTCAGGTCTGAAGGTTGTTTAGTTTTAAGTAAAGTAATTCTGTTTCCTAATTTGGCTTTTATTATGAATAGGGAAAACTTGGAACATTATCAAAACCTTGCAAAGGGTCAAGCGCCAAAGGTTGTATAGTATATGTGTAGATTCTTTTTTCTTTTCAAATTTAGTTATTAACAGTTGATGTTCATAAGTATTACTAGGACATGTCGTTCATTTACTGTTTGCCTCAATCTGGTGTTGAGTGTCAGGGAGAATATGCGTGTGTACTGATGTTTCTAGAACAGTTCATGGTCATTTCTTGTGCAGATTCTAGGGTATGCCCCTCAACCATTCTGGGATTCCAACCGGGAGAAGCATTTATAGTGCGCAACATTGCGAATTTGGTGCCCTCCTTTGAGGTATACATTGTAAATCAAAGTTGAATTATTTTGCTCCATTTCTGATTTGTGGAAGGTTACGAAAAAGTGAACACTCACGAATCAAATGATATATTATTATCTACTACATTTGTTTTGTTATTTTTTTCTGTTTTTGCAGAGTGGACCCTCAGAAACAAATGCTGCATTGGAATTCTCTGTGAATTCTCTGAAAGTAAGTATTCTGGGAATAAATTCTAAAAGAAATTTCCAATTATTTCCTTGCTAGTCTTATCTGTTACAACCAAATCCCTATCTAAGTAATGGCTTTAAGGCTATAGAGTGGCAATAGAGAGGTACCACATGAAAAGTTGAGTCTCCCAGATTTAGTGCGATTCTTAATACAAAAGGGAAGCAAGGAAAGCTAGAAGGAAATAAATCCTTAACCGTAGTTATTTTGTAGGTCGAAAACATATTGGTTGTTGGTCACAGCTGCTGTGGAGGCATTCGTGCTCTTATGGGCATGGATGATGAAATAGAGAAAAGGTTCACTAAATTTCTTCTTGTGTACTTTTCAAGTTGTTGCATGTGGTCTTTGTGTATGGTTGCCTTTGATTTGTTTGTCCAAGTACAGTCGAGCTGTAGTTTTCACTTGCCAAAACTCTTTTATGCAGTAGCTTTATCCAAAATTGGGTTGTTGTTGGGAAGGATGCAAGGTCGTGGACAAAGGCTGCTGCCTCCACGCTCAGTTTTGACCAGCAGTGCAAACATTGTGAGAAGGTAACATTTTATATTTCTTATTTTCTTTTAAAGTAACGTAATTATTCTCCATTTGTATTTTTCTTCATTTCATCAGTATATGACTATAACCTAAATGAACGTCTAGTTTGTATATGTTGAAACTTGTATTAGCATTCTGTTTTACTGGTATATTAAATTCCTGATCCATTTATTTTAGTCGTAGTTGACCTTGTATGTATCTGGGAGTTAAACCAAATTCTTTTGAGGGCCATGCTTAGATTCTCCCACTGCGGCATAAATTTGGGTTGTAACTAATGTCGGGTGTCTTGTATTATAAAAGGATGCTCCAGATTCATAAAAAACGTTGCCCATATTGAATGACATCCTTGTGCAGGAATCAATCAACCGTTCCTTGTTGAACCTGCTCACGTATCCATGGATAGAAGAAAAAGTGAAGAAAGGTGTTCTTGCTGTACATGGTGGTTATTATGACTTTGTTGACTGTTCATTTGAGAAATGGACGCTCGATTATAAGGAAGGCAACTTGAAGGAGAAACATGGCAGAATTTCAGTCAAAAATCATTTGTTTTGGTCCTGATTTCATCCGTGGCCTTGTACGATCTAATTCATCCAATAAATTATTTAAATACATGTTTTGAACGGTGATTAAGCTAAGGACAATTCGAAAAATAATCTAGAATGATTTGGTTTGTATTGAAATAACAAAAATAAAACAATGTGTATAATTTTTTGTGTTTTTCATCTGACTGAGTTGATGCTCTTTGTTTTGCTTTATTTTCTTTTCTTTTGGGCCAAGAAACTGCCAAACTCTTTTGATCAGTGATTCAGTAGTTATCCAAAGTTAAGTTCCGAAAATTAAATTTAACGCAACTCTGTGAATGGGAGGTGTTAAGCGTTTTATCATTCTGGCATTGAGCTATTTTTTTGCAGGAAGCAATTTGAAGACATCGATCGTATGATTAGGTGCAAGATGTAACTTAAATTTAGGTCGGACAATTAGCGAGAGTTCTCTACTAAGTGTGGAGCATGAAGTTAAGAACACCAAGAAGAACCATTTCTTGTTGACCTACGTGACCAAGTCAATGTATCACTTGCTGTTATTCAGTTTGGTGATTGCTGGTGCAGACTCTAGCCTTTCTGTGATTCTCAGAGCTCAGGTATGAACTTGCATAAGCTATCAAAGTTACAAAATGAATTTTCAAGTATTTACTGTTTACTAAGTTCAACAATGCGTCAATGCCTGATGACTCCTTCCATAATTCTGTCGCTATATTTCAAACTCGTGTCTGCGTTCTGTTTATACTTGTATATTCGATCTCCAGATTAATTGTGTGCTGTCTCCTTTCTTCTGCCTTGACAGAAGGGAAACTGTTTCCCCAACTGATTAGCACAAGGTTCTGCAGAAGAGAAACCATTTTCATTGTTCTTCATTTCACTGCTATGCTATCATGATCAGAGTTACCAACATGAAATTAAAGGCAGTACTTTGTACTAAGTTCAATGTCGCTTGACGCGAAGAGAGAAAGAGAGAGAGAGAGAGAGAGAGAGAGAGAGCGAGATTCAAGTTGAATCAAGGTTTTGGTTTGCAGATTGAGGACGGAAGGGGAAAGAGAAAAACTTGTGCGAGCTCTAAAGTCTAAGGCTTTCATATGATATGGGAATAATGAAATTATGAGTAGGGAGTCATTAGAGTTGGTTTAATATTTGAGGATAGAGTTCCAGTTATGACCGTTACAAAACTTGGAAGACAAGTAGCTCTCCACCGCCTTACTAATTCATGTAATCTCTGTTCATTAAATTGGTGGAATTAAATAATCAAAGTGAAATACCTTTGAGTCATAGCGTTGGTTCAAACCCCATCGGCTCCTTAATCTAAAATTTAATTTAACAAATCTATTGTCTGACAAAAAAAAAAAAAAAAATAATTAAAGCGAAATACCTTTCCCGTGTGCTTCGTTGTGTTTGGTTCACATTTTTTACTACAGTTGGTCATAAGGCCATTTTTGTCATTGTATATGTTCTTTCACGAAACTCATGTAGTTCATCGGGGAGAGATTTGTTAGTGTACCAGGAATACAGTGTGGTATATCAAGTGTAATAATATAGTCGATTGGAAACTTGAAAACAAAAATTTCCAACAAATTGTACTATGACATACCAAACCGTTATAAATGCACACTAAAAAATAGTGGAGAGGCGTAGGTGCTGCCGACGGCCGTTCTTATATTTGATGGGTATGATTCTCTGGATTATATTCCGCAGTAAGATAGACAATTTGTTAGGGTTGACTGAAATGCAATGGAATGATGCGTAGAAGGATGAGAATTGTATGATATAGAGAAAGAAGCATGAGTGGTACAGAAATTTTGCGGAGGCATGTTAATGTGCAAAATTGGGCGTGAAAATTATGTTTGGGTGTGGTCGATATATTTGTGAATGAAGGTCAATCTAGCCGTGATTTGTCATGTGTCCAACTACATTGGTATTTTGTGAAGGAAGCTGCTATTTATACATTTTTACTTTCTACACTCTTATTAATTTTTTGCTATTGATCTTTTTCAATTTATTTAATCCGACGATCGAAAATTAAGAGACGTGTGTAAGAAGTAAAAATGAATATGTGGATAACATTGCCCTTTGAATCCAAGTAATTGTACGAAATCGAAGTAATTGTAAGAAGGCAATGATAAATGGAATTGTTGTGTGGAAGTGATGAGAATCTACATTTAACTGGATGCAAGTAGATTTTGCTGTTACAACTAAATTTAACTGGATACAAATTGTGTAACAGTTGGTTATAAATATTAATGGTAGGTGAATAAGCATTGGTTTGTCATCTATAAGATCGAAGTAATACTTTCACTTATAAATAAAAAGTAATATTATTAAATCGTAGTATTAAGCGATAAATGTGAACAAAATTTTGAATTCAATATGAATTTATAAAAGAATGCAATATATAAGTCAAGATTTGATTCCATGATTGTCAAATAGATGCCGTAGTAGCTAAACTAGATAACCTAATAACTCCACTTTTTACCGCGGAAGAAATAATCTTACGTTGTATGCAATATATATCTTTAAACTAGACGAGCACGTAGTGAGTCATAATTGGCTATATATAGCCAACCGCAACCGAAGCCAACAACTTAAGATACCGACTCTATCTCATTGACGAGTAGTGGACAAGAAGGTGAACTAATTAACAACTCAAATATGCATGGGGCATCATGTCAAGTTTTTCCTAACCATATTTGAGCAAACCAACAACAACACAACCATAGAAAAAAAATAAATATAATATATATGTTTCCTTGGCTATATATACATGCACAAACTCATCATCAACATTAACTCAACTGGTCATATAGACTTAGTTACTCATTCGAATTACTTCCAAACCTTTTAGATCGATCAGTTTGAATCAATGGCCAATTACAAGCACTGCTTCTTTGCTGCCATCTTGTTCATTATCCTGTGTTCTTCAAGCATCCATGTCTCCGTAGCGGCTCGCAATCTTCTCCAGACGACTGCACCGTCTTTGCCTAAACCTGGCACAACACTGCCACCTTTCCTTCCTCTGCCACAACCCACATTGCCTAACTTGCCAAACTTGCCAAACTTGCCAATACCATCTCTACCTAATCCCACCGGCGGCGGCTCCACACAGCTGCCTCCACTTCCCAATTTCCCTACTACAATCCCTAAGGTTACACTGCCTCCACTGCCACCAAACTTTCCCACAGTACTCCCAACCATTATCCCTACCGTAATTCCCTCTTTCCCATTTTTCTCTCCACCACCTTCAGCCCGTAAACCGTAAGTCATGCATATATGTTCGCACATGCAGACGCAGCAACGCTAGCTGACTAGCTACTGTTGGATTGGATCTTCATTTTCTCTTTTTATTAATATGCTTTTGTTTATGCACGGTATTGGTTAAGTATTTCTATCATTATAATATGTACTGTATGCTTTGATATGCTTTATGTCCAATGAAGCTTGATTTGGTGTGTTGTTATACATATACATATTTCAAGTTCATTTGTGCTTTGTTTTTATAATGTGAAATCGAACCTATAACCTAATTTGTTTTCTTCATATACTTCGCCATGCGAAAATTAAGTTTATGTAAATTTCTGATATCTTATTCCTATCTACAGGTGGAAGTATCTCTACTAATTAATAAAACACTCATTCTCAACTAAAACTCCATGAAATTACCAATTTAACGCTCTAATTAAAACATAACATGAATAAGAAATATGGGCATAAATGTAATTTCACACAACCAAATTTTGTTGTTTTTTTTTTCAAAGTCTCACCTACATGTAATCTTAACATATCTCTAATTATAAAAAAAAAAAAAAAAACATCCCACTCCCACGTTCTCTATCACTCCCTTCCTCTCTCCTTCTATTTCAAAAACAAAAATAAAAAATTTTCTCACACATTTTGTGTGTGTCCATATGCTAGTATATATACAAGAGGACTTTACAGGTCATTATAAATATAATAGGATACCTAATTTCCATGAAATTATAAAAGTGAGTTGTAGAGCGCTTTACTTGAAACTGTTTTCGTTAGGCCATCTCCAATCAAAGGTTGGCCAGGGGGCTCGTTTTAGCCCTCTAGCTTTCCAAGATATTAATATTTTAATGAATAGTACATGACCATATTTGCCTCCATCTCCAATCGAGGGCCAAAGGACCATAGGGCTCGTTTAGCCCTGTTACAAAAAACCGTCTCCAACCGAGGGCCAAACATAATTTATTATTTAAATTTAAAAACTACAACAACTTAAATCTAAAAACTACAACAACTTAAATTTAAAAAAGGGTAAAAATTATGTGAGAAATGGTGTAGGATTGGCTTAGGTATTTATAGGAAAAAATGGGGAATTTTTTAAAAAAATTTAAAAAAAATTTGGCTCAAAAAAAAGAAAAAATAGATGACAATATTGTCGGATATATCCGACACTAAAGTATTAATAATGCAAAATCCAACCTGGCCCGGGGCTAGCTGGATTGGGCCAGCCGGTTAGCCCTTTGGCCCTTTCAGATTCCGTGGGGCCCACAAGTCCTTTGGCCTAACCCTCGGTTGGAGACGGTTTTCAGGTTATTTGCGGCCCTCTAGACCCTTTGGTTGGAGATGACCTTAGGATATTAGCCAGTTGGTCTTTTGATTCACAAACTGAATTGAACAATCTAATCTTCCCGCTTCTCTTAAATGAAATATATGACCACCTTAACATGCTTAGTACGGGACTAAATTATGAGCAATGTTATTTGCAATTTTATTGTCGCCATATGGATTCACCACACAATCAGAAACCCAATTTTGTGACAAACCTCCCTAGCCACAAAAGTTTACAAAGTCCCTTAGTCATTTCTTTATATTCAACTTCCACACTAAGATAGAACAACCACTTTTAACCACTAAAATTAAGTAGAATAACTTGGAAAATTAAAATGAAAACCGAGACAATGAACTTCTTATAATTGGATAAACCAAGAGGGACAATGATAATAAATAGATAACTGCCAACTACAAAGTTTTCAATGCAACTGTTTGGACACGATTTTTTTCACTATCGACCGGTCAATGTGATTTTTAATAATTTTTCTAGATATTATGGTTTTAATAATCATGGTTTTATCTGAGGAGTTATTGAAAATTATCTTAAAATTGAATGGATAATTAAAGAGTCTTGGAGATTGAGATGCTATCGGGTTTTAGAATATCAAGATAAGGCTTGACTGACCATGGGGAAATTATCCTGGTAGTCTGATGAGCAAATTATCAAGAAAAGGTCGAATGTCAAGATAATATTGAAGATTATTTCAAAAGTTGGTGTCTACGTGGAATATAGGTCTAGTAGCAAATTGCATTAAGATAACAAAAGTTGGATTGGTTATGAGGAAATTGGAGGTGATTTCGAGTATATCGAGATAATATTCCAAGGAGTTGTAACGCCGTCAGACCATGCAGTACGAGGACTTGATGCGTTGTAATGCCGTCAGACTCTGCAGTACGACTTGGGCATCAAACAATTTGTCTCTACAAATATACAAGGATTTGCAGTGTAAAGAGGTCTCAACTCAATATACAAATCAGCGCTTTACATAAATTATCTTATTTTTCTGAGAAAAATACTAAGTAGTTAAACGAAGTATTTCAGAGGCAACAGTTTGTCTTAGGAGTCTTAACAGTTTAGTTAAACAAGTTTCCCAAGTTCGACTAATTATATATCTCACGTCTTTGGCAAAAAGTTTTTGGCCGAACAAGGTCACTTCATTAGCCTTCTCGGCAAAGTGGAGTGTTTTTACGATTGGATGCTCCCAAGTTATATTCAGAGTTCGACATACCGTGACGGCCGAACTACTTTTACAATAAGGACGCTTATTTCCTTTGAGTACTTTTGTCCCTATAGATACCATTTCGACGACCTATACTCTTACCAATATAGTCAAGTGACAGACCTATACTCTTACCAATATAGTCAAGGTTGCCGAACCCGGTGCACAAGATCCAAAGCTTCATAGTGAGTTGCATAACCTTGTCTTCAAGTTATACAATTCAAAACCTACCGTGTTCATTTCTCGACCGAAATCGCTCAAGTCAGGAGTCAAAAGCACATTTGACCACATGCATTACATTCAAACTATTCGCCCAATCGAGTTCGGTAGCAAACCGATACGCCTACATTAGCAATTAACCGCCTAAAAATGTAATTAGCTCCTTAATTATTTCAGCATGTACACCAAGTAGTCTCTGTGATTTATAGGGTCAACAGGAACGGTGTGCAAATTATTGGTACTTTTGCTGCTGCTATTCTTAAATTTGACCGAAACCTGCATCTGACATATGTGTCTTACTCATTTACACCCACATCAGAATATTACAGCATTAAAAACCAAATATAAATTCGATGGTACCCCATCAAACTACCAAACCTTTACTCCATTTTTTTCGCTGGGGGGGGGGGGGGTCCAAATTAAAACCACTAGGTTTCAACCATTCGTATATAAATTCACCATCTCCTGGGTTTTCTTTACCTCAAGTTAACCTTGTTGAGTTTCCTCGTGAATTAGCTAATTCGAGCTCACTCCCTTTGGTTTGGTTCCACATCACAAGTCTAAAATGGCATATAACTGGAAGTGGTTGTTTGTCACTTCTATCCTCTTCACATTATTAATTTCTTCAGCCTTGGGCGGCGCCGCCCCTCGAAAACTCTTAGCACCAACCTTTCCTTATAATGAGCCCAATATTAATATTCCAAACCTCAACTTTCCACCTGAGCCACCCACACTCAACTTTCCACCTCTGCTACCCACACTCAACTCTCCTCCTCTGCCACCCACAATCGACCTTCCTTTTCTGCCACCCACACCACTTTGGCCAGAATACAGGTTGCCTCCCCCTATTACTTCACTTCCAGATTTCCCTCCACTTCTCACTTTCCCCATCGTCTCTCCACCTTCAATTACCACTACCACCCCAACCACCCCTTAATTAAAACCATCAATATATACACACATAAATAATATATATATATATATATTATGTATATGTCTTTTATATTTTATAAGTTGGCATCTGCCAATATATCTTGGCACTAACTTGCTATTGTATGATATTATTATAGTTTCCAAATGCAGTTTAATAAAGGTGGATTCATTGGATCCCTCTAGCTAGATCTGTTTTGGGGACCTCAATCGTTTGGTGTTGCAGTGTTGATAGAATGTTATTAGTCAATTGAGCTACAAGTATTTTGCAGGCAACTTTAGTCATTTATCAATATAATTTGTGTAAACCGAAGAAAAATTGAATAATTTTGTAATGATCAATTTCCATATAATATTGTGGTGTGGTGTATCCTTGCTCTTGCTCAATTATAAGAAAATCTTTCGATGCTATACCAATTACCGGCTATGGCCCATTGCTCCAAACATTTGGCATTTCACCTTTCTATTATGAAAATGTTAATTGAGCGATATTCTAATTTAATTTAAATTAAATTATGTAAAGAGCTATTTGAATTTGGAATGAAGATGAAAAGTAACTGCTCTAGCCAACTTGACTACACATTTCTAAAGCGCTAAAACGACACTAAAACTAGAGCTCAATAGTATCAGTATAAACATCAACCGTGCAAACCGACGCTAAAACCGGAAATCCTACCATTCCTCTCCTACCAAAAATGTTCATGTACGGAGGAAATATCTATTTACGTTCGCTTATAAAACGTGCCAACAGCACAGCAAGGAAAAGTTTCATCTCTTCTTTCATCCCATTCATCTCTTTCCCATGGCACCAGCTCCTGAACCTCGGCCACCTTTTCTTCTCAACGGCAGCAGCAGAACCACCTCTTCCTCGGCGAGCCGGTCTTCTTTGCACTTGTATTTGGCGTACCCTTCAAATCAAATTGTACTTGCACTGCTACGTGGTATGAACAAACACAAAAATCATGCATTCTGGAATAACATATATTTAAATATCATGAGAATGCTCGTTTGAATTTGGTCGCATCCATGTAGGATAGTACCAGTTTTGAGTTCAAACTTAGCAGTTCCTTTTGCAGCTTCTCACCAACAGCAGAACCTCCTAGACACATTGTGAGAAGAACAATCACTAAGTGAGCACCAACAAGTCAGATGGTCAACCAGAATAGTTAGAATCCAGAAGGAATCTACCTTGCGTTACAACCCTAATAACATAATTTAATTCATTGCCGAGTAAGTTTCAATATGAATTAATATTGGAGATTAATGTAGACATTGTGATTTGATCTTCTAAAGATATCAATCTTGTAGTTGGTGTCTTGT